AATCACTTGAAAAAAACACGGGGGTGCTTAACTTTTTTCCAGGTGTATATATTCTAGCATTGAAAATTTAAAATTTGGTTTCATTTTAAAAGGGTTATAGTTCTCGATGTGTTGTATTTTGTAAATGCTTTCTTGGAGCATAGAAATAATTGGAAACATCATTTCATCACACTATATAAGAAATCAAAGTTTCATTTAAAAATTAAAACAAAATTTGTAAATAGTTTAATAATTACTAAGTACATCTGAAATTATATGTATACATATTTAATTCAAAGTTTTTTTCAAGTACAAAAAAATTTTTGGGTAAAATCATTTTTACATAATGTTACTATCTTTGTTTACAGCATGAAAAAAGTTCAAATTTGGAGAGTGAATATTTACACCAACCTTAAACATAAATCTTTTGTTTTTAGTAGATATAATTTTCAGGGCCCTGTGTTTTCAGTTTAAATAGATTTTACAAAATAGTATTATTTGTTTTTCTCCAATTTTCACAAAACTTTTTTTTATCATTTCAAATATATGAAAAATAACTTTGTTTTATTAGGAAAATATGATACAATCCATGATATATATATATATATATAAAGATAATTCATTAGTCTTTGTGTACATGTAAAGTGCCTGTTGAAGTAAGGCTATGTATTAATATGAATCATGATGTATACATTTACACCCACTACATACACATTTCAGTCTGTTAGCAGATAATATTGTAAAAGATATGATACACTAAAATGAGAAGAGAATGAAAATCTGTATCAGAATATGTTTCATAACACAAAAATGTAGTTGAAAGCGTTTAAAAAGACAAAAACAGGAGAAAAGGATGAAGTTAGTGTATTTGCTGCAAATGGTGTGGCATCAAAGTTGACATTTGGGCTGACTGGATTAAAAGACATTTGGAGAACAAATAACACTTAAGACTAAAACAAGAAAGTAAAGAAAGAAACAATTGGATGCAGAGTTCTAGGAATATCTCAGGTGGATTGCCGAGCAGTTTACTAATGCATAACTGGGCAACACCCAAACACAACTTGAACATACATCTGTGGTTAAAGGATGCCTGCTGTGCAGCACAGAACAGTGGACGACAACTGAAATTGAGTGAAATGTTTAAAAAAATCTTAATGTGTATTTTGTGTGTTTTTGTATATTATGTTTTTAATCACTAATCAAATAAAGTTAACCAAGCTACAAATATTTTGTATTCCTGTCTTAACAGCTAAAAATGAAAGAGGCAAGGCTAGGGATGAACCGGCCGACAATTTCAATGCATGCCAGATACTGCATGCAAAAACCCCAGATATCATACAACACTGGAACTTTTGCAACCAAAATTAATTTCCAAACGACAATTTCTCCAAAACATGTAAATTGTTATCTAGAATTGTAATGGCACAATTATTTTGAGAAAATCTGGAGGAAAGAAAAAACCACAGATAACGGAGGCACTAGTATATGTACTTACCTGGAAGGATGTACCAACAGCGAATTCTGACTCGGCTTCATTCACACAAGATACAAAACTCAATTAAAAACCTGAATTGCTTCATTTATCTTGTCCAGCTCACCTGCTGCATGTTGCTGTCTCTCATGCTGCCAAAACCAAAATGGCTTATTTAAAAAGATCATAAAAGATGCTGGTGAAGTTTTCAAGCATTCAAGCAAAACAAAAAAAACTATAATATTGGTAATAAGATTGTAATCGAAAGCAGCATTCCAGTTATAGTTATACTAACAAGTTGGTTTAGTCTGTATGTGGCTCCACAGTGTTCAGAAGGCATGGAGTGTTTTAATGTGACTTTTAGATCATAAAGAGTTCAACAGTGGAAAAGCCGCCAAAAAGCTGAAGTCTGAAGCATCTATGCAAGAAATTAGGCAATGCTTCATACAAAACTCAAATTCCTGATTGAAACTCTTCAACAACTACATAAAGTACTGTCCACCTCTTGCATTCTGGAAAATCTACTGCACTGACTTTATGACTTTGAGCTGCACTGCCTCTTGCATCCTCATACAGCACATTTTCTACTACAGAGGTGTATGGCATTCTGGTTAACAATATATTTGCAGAACTTTCTCACAAAACCACATCTTTGGATATTCCAGGAAAAACAAATCTTTTCATGTCTTTGTTGCCAGTCACTCAGCAGGACAGCCTTTCAAAAGCTTTCAAAGTTTTAATGAAGAGCTGTCAAAGATGTGGGAAGCTAATGTCATTCACAATATGCCCCCTGAAGCTTTTCACAGTGAATCATCATTCTGGAAAGCCATTGTGCCATTTGACTCTCATCATTAAAGTGTAGCTTCAGCTGATAAATTTAAAGAATATGATCATATAATCTTCTCCTAATGGGTTCTAACAAAGAAAGTGCAAAACTGGAAAGCAAATTTCTTGCCTATAAGGCAATTCCTTCTCCAGACAACTGCTTTATCACTCCTCTTAAATTCTGGAAAATCCATTGCACCAACTTTTCAACTTTGAGTTGCACTGCTTCTCACATCCTCAGTGCCCCACCTGCAGGAATGCCACTGCCACCTTTAAAACTTTAATAGCTTTTAAACCAATGATGAGAACCTTGAATTTTATAAATCTGATTTTGTTGAGTTCCTGAGACTGATTTAACAGATATTTTTTTTCAATGAAGCATAACTGAGGGAATAATCTATAGAGCTCCTTTGGATTTACACCAATTTATCAAGCACTGCAGT